TGTTGCATCAGACTCATGATCGGTAGACTCAAGTTCAAATCCCACCTTAGGCTGAACATCAAAAGGGTCAACCCCTCCCCTGGGTGAGTGTGCCACAGACCCAGTGGGATGGCCAAATCCACTGGCTGAAATTTATTCACTAACAAATGTGACTTTGGGGGAACCTAGGTTAAGATCCGCAGGTGCTTGTGTTCGACCGAGCCTGGGTGATGCCAGGTTAGCATTAAACTTGCCATTTAATAGAGAGATGGCCACACAGCCCTGTCATGTAGTCCTAAACATGAATATGACTTCTGTGGTAAAATTCACAATGTGTCAGCACTTGCAATTTGCACAATTACAAAAAAAAGTAAGGAGAGACAACAGTGACACTCAATGTCCAGAACTGGTGCCTGGCACAAAAACACTTAAAAAAAAAATAAAAATAAAATAAATAAATAAATGTCTACTAGTATGTAGCTTATGTCAATGCTCTATGGAAGTAAGCCTGATTGGACCACTAAAGATATTGATGTTTCAAGGGTTAGTGTAATTAGCTTGTAAATAAACTACATGTACAAGGGTTTTTGTAAACATACGAGTAAGCTGTGCAAGTGATTAACAACACTCATTAGCATATCTACACATTCAGAGTAAAATTACTTTAGATGGCTATCGTTATTTGAGGAGTGACAGAAAAAGGAACAGTAATTTTGGTGGACTTGCTATCCTCTTCAAAAGTCAACTACAAAAATATATTTCAAAATTAGAAGTTAAATCTAGTGAGTACATATGGTGTAAAATTGATGGAAGAGTATTTGATAGTGATTTAGATCTTTATATACATGTACATGTATCAGTGGAAAAACCGAAAATTGATTAATCATTATGCAAATTAGGTAATTAGTATCCACGGATTATTACCAAAAACTAATCAAAACCTAGCATTAGTTCAGAGCATCTATGTACCAAGTTTCATCAAAATCCAATGAGTGGTTGTTTAGATATCAGTGGAACAGTCATGGAACCACTAAAAAATAGCTAATTATCATGCAAATTAGGTAATTAATATGCACGGATTTTTACCAAAAATTAATCAAATCTGCGCATATGTTCAGAGCATCTATGTACCAAGTTTCATCAAAATCCAATGAGTGGTTCTTTAGATATCAGTGGAACAGTCATAGAACAGCTAAAAATTAGCTAATTATCATGCAAATTAGATAATTAACGAGCATGGATTTTTACCAAAACCTAATCAAATCTGCGCATTGGCCCAGAGCATCTATGCACCAAGTTTCATCAAAAACCGATGTATGGTTCTTGAGATAGCAGTGGAACAGTCGGACACACATACACACATACACACATACACACCACAGACACACTAACTGCAAAGACTCCCATTATGTGCTTCGCACATGGGAGTCAAAAACACAAAAGAGCAGAAATTTATTTATCTAATAAGTACAACTGAAGACAACGTAGGTCACACAGATTGGAGAATATTTATATATTAATATTTTTTTTTTATTCAGAGAGACTGCACTGACTATTTTTCATTTAAAACTATTTCAAATTTCATTTTACCGAGATATTCCATTTTACTGCTGTACACTGATGCAATAAAACATTATTATAATTAATACAGGCAGCTTGAATTAAAATAAAGTCTCTAAGTGTATTATGATATTTAATCTGATTGATTATGTGTGTTTTATTTTAAATTAAAACTAATAAAAATAATCCGTGGGGAGATTTGCAAACAAATTCTCATCTATGCTGAGGCCATTTTTTCCCAAAAACAAAACCATAACAAAACAATTTGTATTGTATTTGTAAACTGATATGCAAAATTATGATATTGTGTACCACATTGAATGATTTTTTGGATGTTATTTGCATATGAGCTTTGTTGACTCTCAACAACAAAATCCCAGAATTACACTAGTGCATCATGGGAAATGTAATTTGCATGGTCCGCGCAAATGTCTACTTAGTCCACAGATGTTATCATTTCAACAGGGGAGGGGGTGTTAATTCTGTAAATTCATTCGTGGCAGTTTGCTTAAGCATGTTGCTGTAGTCTGCGGGCTTGTTTTGGGCCTGATTTACGCTGTTCTGGGCATAAAGCAAAATATCCAACGTGTTTGATAATTTCTGCCACTCGTGGAATTTGTCTCACAGTGTGTGCTGGATGAAAGCAACTTGCTTACAACTTTTGCGGAACTGCGCATGCCTGCGGACGACATCACATGACAGTTCAAAATGGATGGGTCTCCTGTTTGGTAATAGATGGACCAATCATCGTTAGAATGTCATTAAATGACTCTCGATCTACCCTGTAATATCTAAGGAAACACTCTGGGTCCTCAGTGTTCAGTTCCTGTACAATGTTCAAGTAGGCACCTTGTCCGTGTCTTCTCTGAATCCAGCTTTTGGTCCATGTTTTTCGACAGGCTGCCCTAGCTCTCCTTTTTCGACGACGTGATAATAAAAGAATTTTTTCGTCCTTCCCAGACGATGATTCCATGGGCGCATTAATAATAGTCATATTAAAATACAAGACAAGTCTAAGTATTATAACTATAGATATCTGTTGTAGACAAAGTTCAATGTAGAAGGGTTGGGAGATTCCACAGTCCTATGAATGTGAATGTGTGAGGTATATCAGAAGCAGATTGTGCCAGATTTAATTGAGTTAATTATTAAAATGGACATGGCATCTGTCGGACATCCAAAGAAAAGACCAAAAGTATATACTAGTATACTAATATTAAGAAACATTGCTATAAAACAGACCCTGTCAGGCAGCACTGATAATGCACTCACATACCATAGGGTCACACTTTACAATATAATAACAACCTTTATTGATATCGTATCCCTTCTGGGATCTAGATTAGAATACAATAAGAATAAATAAGAATAATGTATACAGTAGTAGCAGCCTTGACTTTTCAACCAAATTAAGTAATGCAGAGGTTAACATGCTGTGAGGGTCATCAAAACTGTATATCCAATTCTGTATATTAAAATTATCATGCGACAAACAGTACAACTCACTAACAGGCAGCAACCAACTTATTGTTGACCAAAATTTACATATATCCTTCTGACCCCTGCCTTCTGAGCACATTATAAAATCCGCCAAGCACCAAAGTGAAACAGACCAAACAAGCAACTCACTCAACTCTTAAAACACCATTTCAATAAAGTACAGTCAGACATACCTTTGGTGATACAATGTAGGCATCACAGAAAAGCTTACTTATTAACCAGGTTTTGTTAAAAAGAAACCTAGCTGGGGACATACATGTACCATGTCCTGACTTGTTTATCTCATTTTTACATCTAACAGTAAGAATTCCTTAGGCCCCCTCACTCATAAATCTAATACCACCTCTGCCCTTCCCCCGTCTCAATTGTTGATTCCCCTTTCAGGGACATGTAGTAATATGGTAATCAGGTTTTTATTAGGATGATGTCTTACTTCGAATGTACAATAAAAAGGATGCTGTTGAAATAACCAAACGGTGAAAAAAAAATGTTTAATAATGTTTTCTTTGATACACTGTTGGCATTATTCCATATTGCTATCATACTTTGTTCATCTGAAATGTTTCACAAAGTTATATTTGTCTCTTTAAATGATTGATTGATAATTGATTTCTTTCATTTATTTCAATAGAAAGAGCTGTTCATCTTCAGTTTCAATAACACTCTGTACACTTTCTATTACATACATCAAAATATAGAGTCAACTGACAACACATGTAAAACAATATCAAACACTACATTGGAGCAGCTGACAAAAAGCTGAAAAATTCGACAAAACAATGCACATGTTAAATCACAAACCATAACAAGCCAAATGGTTTTTAAATGAAGTATTTAAATTGTCTTCTAATCTCAGTAGGAATAAATCCTGACAACATTTGACAACATCTTATCTAGTGGCAAGAATCCAAGCAGCTGGAATACAGGTATCATTAAACCCATCTATAAAAAAAGGTGACAAATCAGACCCTAGCAACTACAGGGGAATCACCCTTCACAAGCACATTAAGTAAACTGTTCACATCAAGCAATGTTTGACCAACTATATACAGTATAAAATAATAATTAAAGAAAAAATTGTGTTTTTGCCAAAATTTGGAACAAGAGACCACATATTTAAAATATCTTAACAACAAGAAATACATTTTTGAAAGTGTTAATTGTCTTCACAAAAGTGTTTGACTCAGTGTGGTACTCTGGACAATTGTACAAATTAAGGTAGATGCCTACTCATGATTTCAAAAACCCAGAATTTCTTAATTTTTTAATATATTGTACTTCCAGGCAATATAAGAATATTGACTTTGAAAAAATGGG